TGCTATATTTTTATCATTTCAGTCAAAAATAAGAATTTATTGCTTGTAATATAGAAAGATTTAAAATATATATTTTTTTAAATTCGCTAATTAAAAAAATCATTAAGGAACAATTTTGTTAGTGTTTAAATCTGTTTTAATTGTTTGCTAGTGCCAAATAACGGGTGATCTAAAATGATCGTAATAGAGTCATCCATGAATTTTAATTTCTATATATGTCAAATAAAATAACAAACGTCAGTACAAAAATGGCGAAATAGCGAATTTGAAGATAGCATTATAATTATCCATAGCATTTAAGGTAAAGACATACGTCTGCACTTTTAAGGCTGATTTTATTACAGTCAATATTAATCACCCGGTATAATCTGCTTACGTAAATGTCATGGGTAACTAGACCAGAAATTAAAAAAATCTAGGACACCATTTTTGTATCATTTTGAAAATTTTGATGTAGTTTGTTTTATTATCACTTTGACGTTTGAAGTTTAAAAGATTTGTCACGTCGAAAATGACTAAACTAAAACACAAATACTGCAGATATTAAAGAGAAAAATAAATTCCCTGAAAATCGTTCTTAAAAAAATTATTATTTCAAATTATTGTGAAATAACGGGTGACTATTAATTCTAATTGAAGCAAATTGTTGTGTTGGTAACTCTGAATTATTGGCAGCAGTGCTAGGTGTCAGTTTACAATTATCAATTTTTCAATGTAATGAGATGACAGCTAGTAACTTGGTGTCATCATAGATTAATATCGATGCGACATAGAGGCTGATTTTGCAAAACCACCCTTATTGACATTGGAGTCCTCAACCGCCAAAGGCAAGCGCCAAATTTAAATAGTCGATGCCAATAAAAAAACTTGATTCACTACAACTCGTCGCCTGAGAACTTGTTTGATTTAAAGACAGATCGCGCTCAGGCCAATGTCGACTCTAAGCGTTCAGAAGCGATTTAGTTGGTTTAGACTATAATGTCTGCGGAAAATAGTTGTTTGGTCGGTTTTTATAACGTCTAAGTAAATATTTTTGTTACATATTTAGATGATTTTACATATTTTGTTTAACTAAGAATTAATTCTTTATTTGTGTTTTAATACTAGCAAAACGTCTTAAACTAAGAATATTGTTGAAATCGTAATAACCCAATGGATTTTTTTTTCGCGAAAACGTTTTGGAAACACTGTTCTATTTTGTATGATTTTTTTTTTAATGTTTTTAGTGACAATTTTTGTGGTTGTTTTCGACACACTGTATGATATTAACAGTGAGAAAAAAATTGAACAATTAAAATAATCGAAAATTCTAAAAATCTAGAAATCTAATAATCGAAAAATCGAAACCTTAAAAAATCGTAAAACCGAAACATTGAAAAATCTAAATATCGAAGAACTAAAAATCGAAAAAATGTAAAATTGAAAAATCGAATAACGAAAAATCGAGAAATTGAAACTCTCAAATTTAAAAAATCGGATAACTGAAAAATCGAAGCATCGAAAAACTGGAAAATCGAAAAACTGAGAAATCGAAAAATCAAAAGATCAAGAAATCGTGGAGTCGAAAAGTCGAACAATTGAGAAACCGAAATAGGTCAAAATCGAAAAATCTAGAAGTTAAAAATTGAACAATTTATAAATTGAGAAATCAAAAAACTTAAAAATTCGAAAAATTGAAAAATCGAGAGATTGAAAGATCCAAAGAACGAGAAATCGAAAAGTGATGAAGTCGAAAAATCGAAAAATAGAGAAATCGACAAACAAAAAGTTAAAAGTTGAAAAATTGGAAAAGCGAAAAGATCAAAAAACGAAAAAATGTAAAACTGGAAAAACTGGGAAACCGAAATAGGCCAAAATAAAAAATTGAAAAAGTGATAAAGCGAAAACCTGAACAATCAAATCTCGATAAATCGGGAATGAAGAATTAACAAATCGAAAAATTGAAAAATAGAACATCTAAAACCAGGAAATCGAAAAATAGAAAGATTAAGAAATACTGAAAAATTAAAATATCAAAAGATTGAAAAATCGAAAAATCAAAAAAGTGAAATCGAAAAATAGAAACCTTAAAAAATCGAAAAGTTGAAAAATCAAAAACCTGGAAAATCAAAAAATTAAAGAATTGAAGAACAGGAAAATCGAAACACTCGAAAGTCAAGAAATGGGCAAATCAAAACATCGATTAATTGAAAAATTGAGAGTTTATAAAAGTCAAATTTGAAAAATTAAATAATCGAAAATTTGACAAAATGACAATTGAAAAACAGAAAATCTAAAGCCGGGAAGTCGAAAAATCTAAAGATTAAGAAATCGAAACATTTAAAAAATTCGAAACTTGAAAAATTAAAATATCGAAGAACTGAAATGAAAAATCGAGAAATCGAAAAATCTAAAATTTAAAAAATTAAAAAATCTAAAATTGAAAAATCGAAAAAGTAAAAAAATCGACACATCGAAAAATCCAGGAGTCAAAAATCGAAAAGTCGAAGAATCGAAATATTGAAAAATCCCAAAACTGAAATATCGAAAAACTGAAAAATGAAAGAAAAACTGAAAAATGGAAAATCTGAAAACTCCGAAAACTAAAATATCCAAAAACTGAGAACATAAAAAGTCGAAAAATTGAGTAATAAAAAAATCCAAAAAGTGAAGTCGAAAAATTGAAACCTTAAAAAAATTAAAAAATTAAAAATTAAAAACCTGAAAAATCGAAAAATTAAAGAATTGAAGAACAGGAATATCTAAATCCTCGAAAGTCAAGAAATGGAAAAATCAAAACATCGATTAATTGAAAAATCGAAAAATTGATAGTTTATAAATGTCAAATTTGACAAATTGAAAAATTGAAAATTTGAAAAAACGGCAACTGAAAAACAGAAATCCTGAAACCGGGAAGTCGAAAAATCGATTGATTAAGAAATCAAAACATTTGAAAAATTCGAAAACTTGAAAAACTGAAATATCGAAGAACTGCAATGAAAAATCGAGAAATCGAAAAATCTAAAATTTTAAATATTGAAAAATTAAAATACCAACAAATTGACAAATCTAAAATTTAAAAATCGAAAAAGTCAAAAGTCGACACATCGAAAAATCCAGAAGTCAAAAATGGAAAAGTCGAAGAACAGAAATATTGAAAAATCCCAAAACTGAAATATCGAAAAACTGAAAAATGAAAGAAAAACTGACGAATCGAAAAACTGAAATATCCAAAAGAATCGAAAAATTGAGAAATCGAAAAATCAAAAAAGTGAAGTCGAAATATCGAAACCTTGAAAAAATCGAAAAATTGAAAAATCAAAAACCTGCAAAATCGTAAGATCGAAAAATTGAATAATAAGTAAACTGAAAAATCCCAAAACTGAGAAATTAAAAAATTGAAAAATTGAGAAATCGAAAATCAAAAAGCGAAGTTGAAAAATCGAAACCTGAAAAAATTGAAAAACTGAAAAACCAAAAAACCTGAAAAATAAATTAATTGAAAAATCTACAAATAAAGAGTTTATAAAAGTCAAAAATTGAAGAGAAAGGGAGCATATAAGCATATATATTGTTATTAAAGTTACCCACAATTGTTTTTATATCAAAGCTGTTTAGTATCTATATAAACAAGCACAGTCTCCACAGAGCTAAAAGAATATAGATTGTGTAAGCCAACAGTAAAGTTTACAGACAAAAATTGGATAATTTAGTATCTTAAAAACAGAAAATTGTCAAGTTCCTAAAGCCCCCTTTAATAGATTTCCCTGTTCTCTTTTAATCTCACTCAGTGTGCCATTCAGTCTCTAAATCAATTTGTTCATCCCTAGCACATCCGCTCATCTAAACATGTAATCTGAACGTGGGATCACTTTTCCCTTTGAGCTCTGTTTACAGTATCTAGTAATTAATTATTTTCGTATTCGGACAAAATGTATTTAGGCCAAGTGTGGGCTAGGGACTGTTTGGGTTGTGGACTTGAGTTTCATAATAACCACCACAAGACTGATTTTAAGGTTAAGATAAACAAGCTGTGGCTTAAAATAGAAATAATTTGAGTTCTTGCTCATAGTGTAATTATTTAAACGTAATATACGTACACAGTCTACGTTTTTCAGGTTTGTGGAAATCTTTTCTTGTGAGGGGGTAGACGTGCATGTTTTCACTTACAAGAAAATTTGGACAAAAAAATCTCATTATAAACTAAGTTACAATCTCTTAAGATACAATTTATAGAATTCGCTTATTTTACCGTGGTATAATTTTGCGCTATGCGCCAGCTGTTGTCGCACATTTGTCCAATTTACCCTACTTTATCATTTAGCTCCCACCACCTGCTCCCGCCTACCTAAATAAAATTATTTCTTTTTGTTCGGCATTTCATTTGAGTGATTATTTAAATTGCCTTATTAACTTGATGCTAACGGTCAAATTTCACCCAGTAACGATATGGTTACTTAAAACTTCTCCAATTAAAACTGTCTATAACATCATTCTCATTTCGTTAATGTCTGGCTTCTCGGCCTAAGCGTTTTTCCGGAGCAATTTAATTTTAAGGAAAAAAGCGCTTCACCGCCTTTCTAATTATTTTTAATTAGCTATTAGCTCTTAATTGCATTTTATTTCTTTTCCAGTGTGCTCAGGATGGACGCGGCAAACAATTCATCCCAGACGAACTCCACAGCGCAAGACACCTTCCAGATATCGGATAACACAATAACTTTTATTGTCGGGTTCAGCATCTTAATACTCTTTGTAATTTTGGGGATGCTGGCGAGCGCTTTCTTGTGCATTACTCTGAAAAAGGATCCCTATTTGTGGGAGGCGGAAAGGGAGCGCCAGCTACAAGATCAGACCGAGTCGGATACTGGGACTAATTGCAAGGAGAGGGATAAACTGGCGATGATGGATGAACACCATAATCAAGAGAGCACGCAAATCTAATTTCATGTTACCGAGTTTGATTAAAACAATAAAGTTTTGTTTAATTCGTGTTATTTTTAATCCAAACGACAGTAATTTGTTTATAAGCCTCAACAAAATTACAACAATTAATTAACAACAACAAACCACTTAGATCTAGGCTAGGAAAAAGGCAAAGGGAACGGCGTTTTGCATATTTTAACAATTTATCAACAAAAAGTTTACTATACTTAAAACAATTTTTCAGGCACCTAAAATTTATAATTTTTGGTTATATAGGTAGGTAATCTTTGCGTCGACCTTTAGAGAATACAAAAATCGCCCAATTTGTACTTATCCTTATCGGAATTTTTTCAACCTTATCTTTATCAATTTTTTAAATGATCACCATCACCATCAAACAAGCAATTTTTGAATTTCAGCTTGCCCACTTTTTCGCCCCTGTGGCCGTTTATGCCGCTGAAATCGTAGTTGGGGAAGTACTCAGCAAGCGACGTTTCTAATTTTTTAGAAAACGTCTTTATCTTGTCTTCCGTTTGATCACATTTCTGAAACTTCTGAATTAGTATCGTGTTGCATAAGCGACAAACCAACCTTGAAATGTTGACCTGCACTGTTAACCAAGTGTCGCAGATCCCGCACAAACTCGTTTACATATCTGTAGCAATCTCTGGTGAGATTCTTCTGGAGCATCTCCAGGTTGGGTCCATCCTGGAAACACAAACTATACAACTGAAAAAGAGCGACTGCACTCTACCATGACGCATTCTGCTAACAAATTCGCTAGTTCAGTTGATTTCAACTCATAGAGAATCTTCTCTAGGATGTTTTTCGCCTTTTTGGTCAAACCGCCACTCTTCATTTCGTAAACCATGATATTGAGAGTTTCTGGTTTTCTTCTATACGTACGTGACGGTATCTGTTCGACAAGTCCGTTTTTTGAACTCCTTTGTATTTTCCTTTGCAATACAGTTATCGATGGTTTTACCGTATCGGACTCTATATTGGACGAAGCGTCGTCTCTGCTGTCCAAACTTTCTGGAAAAAATTGTCCCGGCTTTGGTGGCGACGTCGAAGTGCTCGAACGGTCACCATAGTCCGAAAAATTGCTATTCGACAACCACTCGTGGACGTTGAAGAAAACTTCAGAATTTAGCTTAAAGAAATCCTCAGTTATGAGTTAGTCACTTCCCGCTTTGCTATACGTATAAGTACCTCACTGTCAATCGGTTCGTCGATTTCCGACTTCGGTTGTTCCAGTTTCTTAGCGACGGACGTCTTTACTTTAACCCAGTACTTGTCGTTCGCCGCTTCCAGCCCCTTCGTCACGTTTTGCGCAGTTTCCAAAAACTCGATCACTCTAGGACTGTTATTTTTGTTGATAGAAATCGACAACTCTTTGTTTTTGTACTTTTTGGGTACGCGGTAACTTCCCGGTTTCATGTACACCACTGAATTCTCCTCGTCCGAGTCGTTTTCGTCCGACTTGGTGCAAAAATCACCAGCGCATGTCTGGTTCGCTTGATCTACGGTTTCTGTGGACATCGTTGAAGGTAAATGTAAGATCCCTCTGACATTCTTACTAGAATTTGAAGTGGTGTTGGTCAGGGTAGCGGTCGTGGTCGTTTCGCTACCGGTGGTCTTCTTAGCGCTCTCGCCGGTCTTCAACAGGCTCACCTTACAGGAAAAAGGATCAAGGATTCGGGAAAACAACAACAAGGATAACTACCTGAGGAGGAATTAGGTTATTGGCGGTATGTACGTTGACGGCGGGTCCCGGGTTGCTTTGATTCACGTCGAGGTTGTAAAAAATCCTGGTCAACTCGGTGGCTAGTTCGACTGTTTCGCGCTCCCACCTCACGTAGCAAGCTTTGAACCCGGGGGTCAGCTCTTTCTCGATTTTGCCCAAAGCGGAACCCTCGCGGTTCTCCCAGTAACCTTTCAGAATGTGCCAACAGTTCGTCAAGCGAACGAAAGCGTATATAAAATCTTTGGTAGCCCAGGGAATCCCCTGTGAATGTATATTCGATATAGTCGTACGAGGTTTCAGGATCTCAGACCGTGTGCGGATACAAAGATTCTGTATGTTTCTAAAGCACGGCCTGTTGCGGTTTCTGTAAGCGATCTGTTCGGCCGTCAAACAACTCCGCTCCAAAAATTTTATAAAACCATCAGTGTTCATTTGGAAGTCGTCCGAGTTGTTCTAAACAACAAAATTATGATACGCTGTAAACTCAGAACGTTATATTCGCATCCACTAAGATTTGATTAGAAAATAATGTGTGTGTGATGTTAAAATTATTACAACAAAGTCAAAAGCATCAAAGAATCAGATTCAAAGGTGAGTGGCTACATATTACTGAAGTTAGTCTTTCTTTGAAAGAGAATTTATTTCTTTGAAGTAAATGTAAATATTTTCTAGAGTTCCGAAAGAGACTGTTTCAGTTTCAATTTCAGTCTGTTCATCATAACGTACATAAAACATGAAATACAACCTAAAATTAAAGAGTAATAAAATACTCCTGAATACCGTATTCTTGGCTATACATTCTTCAAGCTTTTTTTACTTGTTTTACATCAAATTCTTTGTAGGGCATTTAATGGCTTCCTTTTTATTAAGTCTTCGAAACGGTATTACTAAGTTTTTTCTGTTTCTGGCACAATAGTCGTGATAATGAGACTGAGTTACATAACACTATAGATTTTCATTAGCCAAACTATTAATGTATACGTGATCAAACAAAAGTTGATTCTCGGATTTACACCCATAATACTCCTCATTACCGCTTTAGCAATATGAGAATTATAAACGAATATGTAAAGCGATCTTACAGCGTAACCGAATCTCAAGCTAATAATAATATAATACGTCGTAACTGGTGCTTGAACGTCACCCATTTGAGAGACATTACACACATAAATACATGTGCTTACATTTGCATATAAATTTTGAGTGTGTTCTGTCAACGTTAAATTAGTGTCAGTGATAATTCTAAGGAATTTACTGTGTAGCTTATATTTATCTGTATATTGCAAGCTGAAGAACAAATTTTGAAACGTGTCGAAGTAAAGCGTTCACAGTTTGTAGTGCATCGTACATTAAAAGAACAAGGCATATATCCGTCCCACTTTTAAAAAATGCAAGCTTTGGAGCCCGCTAACAATGTGGAATCGTTGTGACTGAAAATCGGTCCTTCTCAGGACCACCGTTTATTTCCACAACTAGTCGCTTTAGAAAGACATGTAAATATTATTCAGAGGGTTGTTTGTAAATGTATTAAAAATGAAGAGAAAAATATAGATTACGTTATCTAATTGATGAGGGAATTTTGTAAATTATAGGTTGCCACTGCTGGTAAAAAAAAAAACAATTGTTGCCGTATTATGATTTATTAATTTACTAAAGTTAGTATTATTTTAGTAGATATTTGAGGCGTTTAATAAAACAAAATTCAAGTAACTCATTTGCTGCCGCCGCTCCATTTAACAAGCGTGCCTTTGAGTCAGTAGAACTTTTAAAAATTGTTGCGAACGCTTCCTATGACAACCGTGGAAAATAAGGGGTGCTTTTGTACCTTGACAAGAAATAATATAAAAGCTTTTTAAGAAATACGATGGGTCTATTCAGACTGAATGCGTCAGCTACGATCTTGATAACTTGATATCACCTAATTCACTCCACTCCCGAATTTAACCGACTGGTGAGTGGTGATCGAAGATGAGCAGAGCTAAACAACGAAGAGTGGACTTCATGTAATGCATTCAAGTCCTTATTAGGCCGTAGCAAGCGATGGAAATCTAGTAACTTGGATGGTGATCAACATTAGTAAGCTGAAGTCCCTCGAGAACCAACCAATGACATCCTTTATGTCAATCTGGGTTGTCATTTACTTAAAGTTATGAATTATATCAGAGGCCTAAGCATTACTAAACTAATTAATTAAACATTCAGAATTTGGTACTTTTACTGAATATTTATATAAATCTTGGAAAATATTTTTTAACTGAAGGACAACTAGAATGCTGCATTTTTTCTTCCAGAAAGTAAATTTAACGGATGTACAATAAAAAATATATTTGCAGCAGGCCTTAGAATTAATATTTGCCGTTTCTTATAACAGAGTAAATATTTCCGACCCTAAGTAGGCAGTCAGGTTAACAGATAATTGACATTTGGCTTGACAGAATTTCCTAGACTTATGTATCAATTTTTCGCGGTTTATTATTATTTCAGCTTCAGACTTCAGAAAATCAACGCTTTTTCTTTGAGTCGCCCTAATCTCCCTTCCTAAAAAACTGATGACGTCATCTCAAAATTTTGATTGAATAAATTCTGTCCAAAATAAGCAAAATATTATGACTCCATATTTGTGGTTTATTAATGCACTCATATTTTTTAGAATTATTGATACAGGGCGATTGAAAAAAGTAATGAATGAGACAATTTATTGTATTGATTAAATAATGAATAATAATCACTCCATTTTTTCGGAATTTGGGAAAACAACACTGATATTAGTAGTATTACACTCTATCGATCCAAACTGACATACGTGTCCTTGCAAAAATGTTTATGACGTCATCACACTTGTTATTGTTACTGAAATCGACCCGCATCTTAAAAAATTCTTTAAAAGGTATGTTAAAAGGCCTTTGAATTTTTGAAATTTACAGAAGCTTTTAGACCTCTCAAAAATTTATAACTTTAAAATCTACAGAACTTCAATTAAATATTTGATTGCGATTAAATTTTTAATGCGGGATTAAGAAAATCAGGCGTCGCTAAATTAAAACATTCTACAAACTGGCCCTAAAAGTTTAAACTTTCTTTAAATGAGGTACAAGAACAAGAACAATATTTGAACGGTCGAAAATATCAAATACTTCAACATATCCAATGTACAGATACTTCGACAAAACGTCTGATCTAAAATTTATTAAAAACGCACTAGTCATAAAAGAACAAAATTGTAAATAGAAAATTAAAAAATAATGTTTAATTTGCTTTTAAAAATATTTCAGTCATTCCTAAAGACCTGAGAATCTAAAAGTGGTAAAACGATTTCGTGAATTCTGAAGTATGCTGAAATCGTTATTTTTGAAAACTTTAAATTTCGATAAAAATAAATAATTCATTGTCAAAATTTTATAAATTGGATACTACACTAACAATAGTCAAAATATTGCCCGCATCAAATACTTAGATTATTGAAATATTCAAAACTGTTTGGAAAAATTAAGAAATTCAGTTACCTAAGTTGTCAGTTATACTGAGTTTTTTTTTAGTTAGTGAAACAACTCACTTCTTACAAAATTCTTTAAAAGAAATGTTGAAAGGTCTTCGTTTTTTAACATCACTGAATTTTCCGTATTTAGATTTTGAAATATTATAAAAAAATTGCGATTTTTGTTTTTTGATAACCTCCAAAAAGTTAAAACAGTGGCATACCTGGACTTGAATTTTTCAATTTTTCAATTTTTAATTTTTTTGTTTCATTTGCTCGATTTGCAATTTTACAATTTTTTTAATTTTCAAGTTTATATTTTCAATTTTTCTACTTAAAATTTCTCGAGTTTTCAATGTTTAATTTTTCAATTTTTCGATTCTGTAATTTTTCATAAGTTATTCAAATTTTCGATTTGCATTTTTTCATTTTAGCTTTTTATTTTCTTTATTTTTAAATTTTCGGATCTTCCAATGTTCCGATTTTCTAATTCTATTTTCTATTTCAATTTTTTGTTTCAGTCTTTTATTTTCTTTGTTTTGTCAAAATTTCAGTTTTTCAGTGTTTTGATTTTTAATTTTTCTTTTTTCAATGTAAAATTTGCAATTTTTCGATTTGTAAATTTTTTTTAGATTCTTTAATTTTTCGTTTTATAAATTTTAGATTTCTCAGTCTCTCGATTTTTCATTTCTTTAATTTTTAATATGAAATTTTTCTAGTATTTGCTTTAAATAAATATGTAATAATAATAATTTAAAAAATTTTTCACTCTTTCAATTTTGCGATTTTAGAATTTTTACATTAAAACTTTTTCATTTAATTCAAGTTAATTTTTCAATTTCTCGACATTTAATTTTTCAATTTTTCGGTGTTTCAATGTTTTGTTTTTCGACTTTACAACTTCGATGATTCCATAATTTTTCGATTTTACAATTTTTGGGTTTTCCAATTTTTCGATTTTTAACTTTCTCGATTTTTTAGTTTTTCAATATTTGAATTTTTCGTTTCTTCATTTGCAATTTTCCGATTTGGGTTTTTCCTTTTCTTCAGTTTTTCGATTTTTCAATTTTTTACGATTTTTTAGTTTGGCGATTTTTCAATTTTTCAATTTATAATTTTTCGATTTTTCAATTTTTTAGTTTTTCGATTTTTCAACAATTTTCCAAAAAAAAAGGTTAAAATTGCTTTCACCGACTGAAAATTCATGTCAAATTGTAGATAATATTCCGCCAGTTACAATCTAAAATCGCCGTCAGGATGTCTGTTCCAATAGACACGAAAAGTGAATTTAAAATTTTCTAAAATTTTCCAAAAAAATGGTTACATTGTTTCAATCCAGCGAAAATTGGTAGCAAATTGTAGATAATCCTCAGCCAGTTACAAATCCAAAATCATCTTCACGATATTTATTGAAATAAAGGTCAAATATGATTTCAAAATTTTCAAAATTTTTCCAAAAAAATAGTTAAAATTGATTCCATCCACTGAAAGCTGGTGTCAAATTGTAGATAACCTCCCGCTAGTTACAAATCTGAGGTCGACGTCAGGATATCTGTTCCAATAAACACGAAAAGTGAAATCAAAATTTTCCTAAATTTTTCAAAGAAATGGTTCAAATCGGTTCAATCCACTGAAAATTGGGGTCGAATTTTAGATACTCTTCCGCCAGTTACAAATCTGAAATCGCCGTCAAGATATACTGTTTCAATAAATACTAAAAGTGAATTCAAACTTTTCAAAAATTTTCCAAAAAAATGGTTACACTTTGTTCAATCGACCGAAAATTGGTGTTAAATTGTCGATAATCTTCCGCCAAATACAAATTCGAAATCGTCGTCACGAAAACTGTTCCAATAAATACGAAAAATGAATCCAAAATTTCCAAAAATGTTCCAAAAAAATGGTTAAAATGGGTTCAAACGATGGAGATAATATTCCGCCAATTACAATCTAAAATCGCCGTCAGGATGTCTGTTCG